CTTGCAGTTATCTCTCCACATCTTCCTCTGACTCCGTTATCAATTCAACCTGTATATATTCGACAGGGAAAGCCTGCAGCGCAGGCGAAACGTTTAGCAAATGCAGATACCCAAGTTCTTCACATTTATTTATCACTGTTGACACTAGTTGAAGAATCTATCTGAGGGTTATAGACACAATATTTGCTGTAGCTTTATCCCGTGATTATTATCTAGCTGTTACAAGTGTTTTTCTGTTCAGTTATAACCTGTCTTTTGCACTGTTCAGCTACCAACCAATCAGCACTCAGGTGCTATCTTTGTGTTTATATTTCACTTACGTACTCATTTGTTTACATCTTCAGCACTTAGCAGTCAACTACCAACGCTCAAGCGCTTAGTCGCAAACTACCGTCACAGGGTCAGGTAGATTCCGTCGTCCATCGCAAGTATACGATAAAAGCATTATTGCGACCTTCCTTTTCCACCTTGGAGCATGCAAACTGCTTCGCATATACCAGTATTGAGCATTCAGCTTATCCACTGTTTACTGTGCATTCCGATTACCCCTCGTTTATTGTATTTTCTGCTTAGTCCTCTGATTACAGGAGTAATTTAAAACTTACAAGTTTTATATATAACTGGAAGACGTTTCAGTCGTCTAGGGAGAGTATGATTTAGTTGTGTCAAGTTGTGAGTGCTGCAGCCAAGGTATTGTGACTTTATTGATGAGTGTGTCTGTTATTCTTATCCTTCCTCCTTCTCCACACTTAGTCTCATTTATCCTGTCTCCCCATTATTGTGTGCTTCCTGCCATTTATCCTGTCTTCCTGTTCATTATCATTACTTCACCTGTTCCCTCCTGTCTCCTCGATGCACCCTCCTTCACCATCATTTCTCAGATTCGACATATTATTATTATTATTATTATTATTATTATTATTATTATTATTATTAAATTTTTATTATTATTATTATTATTATTATTATTATATATTATTATTTTAGTTATTATTATTAATATTATTATTAATTATTATTATTATCATTAATATTGTTATTACTATTATTATTATTATTATTATTATTATTATTATTATTATTATTATTATTATTATTATTCCCTCAAGACCATTGTAAAAAGTTTGTGTGCTATGTATCCTAAAGCTAAATAAAAGTTACTGAACCTTAATCGCTGGTCAATCTTAGTTAGAGAAAAGTTGGGATAATTTTTGTTGCGAGTAGTTGCTAAACTGCCACTTCTAGAGTAGAAATTGGAAAAAAATGCACTACTAGTCTGAAGCCACTTGGATGAATAGCTCATCCGACTGGCTTCAAACCTTCAACCTG